AACCTGTAGCACCACAACACCAGCTCCAAGCCATTTATTATTATTATTATTATTATTGTTTTAAAGATTTATTTATTTATTTGAAAGTCAGAGTTACGCAGAGAGAGGAGAGGCAGACAGAGAGACAGAGAGGTCTTCCATCTGCTAGTTCACTCCCCAATTGGCCTCAATGGCTGTAGCTTAACTGATCCGAAGCCAGGAGCCAGGAGCCTCTTCCTGATTTCCCACACGAGTGCAGGGACCCAAGGACTTGGTTCATCCTCTACTGCTTTCCCAGGCCAAAGCAGAGAGTTGGATTGGAAGCGGAGCAGGTGGGACTTGAACTGGCATCCATATGGGATGCTGGCACTGCAGGTGGCGGCTTTACCTCCTATGCCACAGCGCCGGCCCCACCATTTATTATTTATCATACTGGAGAAATAGGAGGGAGAGACCAGTTAGTAAGCCTTGTAAACTGAGATATGACGTGGGCTTCCTCTGGTAGCACTGGGCAGTTGGCAAATGGTTTTATGCCTGGAAGGGAAATGGCTGGACTTACAATTTAGAGATCACACTCCAGTGGCAACTTAGAGGGTGGATTTGAAGGGACAAAAACATATGCTGGAAGTTCATATAAGGAGCTCTTTCAGCAATAATACAAAAGAAAATACAGGTCTGGAACAGAACAATAGTAATAGGAATGGAAAATGTTATAGAAATACTAGAGTTGGACTTGACTATTGATTCAATGTAGACATGAGTGGAAGGTAAGAGTCAAGGATGAATGTTTGCGTGCGTGATGGTTAAGGGGTTTGGTGGGAAGACTTCTGGAGGAGAGAGAGATTTTGGAGGTGCAATGGGGAGGAATGATGTGCTCCTGTTTGTACATGGTTAGTGGCCTGGGGAACTGGTAGGAGGTCATGTCAGCAGGCAGTTAGAGGAGGCTGTGGTCTATTGCATATTTTGGGATGATCAGGAACTAGGTGGTGGCTGTACCTATGAGGTAGATAAAAGCACCCATGGAGAAGAACTGGGGAACACCATGAGAGAACAAAGGAAAAAGAAGTGAATGAGGAACAGAAGGAGGGTGATTGCCTCAGAAACCAGAGGGATCAAGAGTCTCGTGAATAAGGGTGTGAGCCAGCTGTTAATTATGACAGTGAGGTCCTAGAAGGAGTGGACGCCATTTTGTTTTGGTAATTTAGAGCAACTCACTGGGG